TTGAGTCATTTTAAATAAAGGGAGTTTGAAAGGGGGTGAGAGCCAGGCCACCAGCAAGAGAAGTGGAGCTTAGTATGTACAGTCACCAATATAGATACTACTTCAAGGACAAACTGTCATAGAGTAAGAGGGAAGGTCCTCTAATGGATCAGTAACTAGTTAAAAGATAGGGAATAAAGCATAATAATCAATGATCAGTTTTCAGAATTGCAAAAGGTAAACAGTGGTGTCCCCCAGCAGTCTGTTCTGGAACCAATCCTGTTCAACATATTTCTAAATGATCTAAAAGGTGTACACAGTGAGTAGGCAAACATTTCAGATGATACAAAATACTAAAGCTAGTTAAGACCAAAACAAGCTTCGAAGAGTTACAAAGGGTTTCACAAAACGGATGACTGGGTAACAAAATGGCAGATAAAAATCGGTGTTGATAAATGCAAAGTAATGAACATTGGAAAACATAATCTCAGCTATACGAATAAAATGATGTGGTCCAAATTAGCTGTTACCAATCAAGAAAGAGATCTTGGAGTCATCCGCTTAATGTGCAGTGGCAGTAAAAGTGCTAACAATGGGAATCATTAGGAAGGGAATAGATAGTAAGTAAGAAAATATCATATTGCCTCTGCATAGTATGTGCACATACTGAATACTGTGTGCAGATGTAGTCACCTCATCTCTAAAAAGATATTTAGGAATTGGAAAAGGTCCAAAAAAGAGCAACAACAATTATTAGGAGTAAGGAACAACTTCCATACGAGGAGAGATTATTAAGACTAAAACTTTTCATTTTGGAAAAGAGAAGACATGATGCAGTTTATAAAATCATTATTGGTGTAAAGAAAGTAAATTAGGAAATGTTACTTATTCTTTCACATAACACAACAACTAGCAGTCATCAAATGAAATTAATAGGTAGCAGGTTTAAAACAAATAAAAGAAAGTATTTCTTCACACAACATATAGTCAACTTGTGGATCTCTTTGCCAGAGGATGCTGTGAAGCAGTAGTCGCTAATCTTCGGTCCATGGACTGGTGCCAGGCCACGAACCGCTGGCTGCCAGGCTGTGGTACTCTGCCTGGCCATGCCCCCATGGCTTGATGGGTTTCCCTGTGAGCTGCATAGCAGTGTGGCCACTGCTAATTGAGCCCCACCTGCAGAGAGCTTCCTGGTTGGGGGGGGGGGGCGC